AAGTCACTTTCTAAAGAAATGTACAGTAGCTGCACAAATCAACTTGTATAACCCCCCTTTAAGTGAATATCTGAGCTCATCACTGTAAGATGTGCTGTTAAAAGATTACACTATGCACCTAATAGGATATAAATACATTGGCTTCCTCAAGAGTTAATACTGCTTAAACTCTTAACTTTTCTGTCATTGTACATTTTTGTAAGGATTCTTATTTCGTCATAGAAAAAAACAAACAAATCTAAAAACCCCATTACTCTCTCACCTGTCAATAAAACCCAGCACAATAAATAATCAATTCAGCTGTCTAAAATCTAACATCATTATATATATCAAATTATTCTCTGAAGCTCTTAGAGGTTTGTCACAGAACATTAGTGAATAAATAGTATTATAAGGACCAAGAGATACACCAGATGGGTCAGGGATAACGTTCTTAAAGGAAAAGTTCGGTTATATTCAGAATTCAAACTTCTGAAAGTACTTTAAGTATAAAATTATTATTTATGATGAGTGTTTTTAATTAGGGGAAATTTTATTTGAATGTGCTTTACTTGAGGCATGAATTAGATATTATCTAAGTCATCTTTAAAACATTTTTCTTTGAAATGTTGGCTACATATTACGTGTTTTTTCTTTGGCCAGAGGTTCGATGGCAAATCCTCCCGCTTCAAGTTGGCAATCCAACGACGAAGCCATCCATGGTGGATCATGAATCAGAAAGGTGAAATAACAATTTTTTTTTCTTCACTTTTACCCGATGTATTGCAACATCCAACTGCTATTCACGTTGGCATTGTCAGTTTAACTATAGCCCTCATGGATTTCAATGGAGAAGTCCTCTCGAAATCTGAAATAATTATTATTGATTGCAGGTGTGCAAAATAGTTCCCATTGATTTAGCTTGTAAAGCAGGGAGAATGGCCCTAGGCTTACCGCACTGTGACGTCACTGCTGGAAGATGTCAGGAGTGAGGTGTTACAATATTTGGGCAAAAATGGGCAAATAATATTTTTTAATGATTAATTGTGAATTCATTAAATCAACACAAATGTATTAGTTTTAGGTATAGATAATGATCCATTGATTATTCCTTGCTGACCGGACTTTTCCCTTAACATGTATTGGAAATATGGAAAGAATAGAATATGGAAAAACGGCAACCTACCAAGACTTTCCTGCATTTAAACTAAGTTCACCAATGGAATGAAAATTTAATAGAGAAGTGGCTAAGAGATCCATAGGCGGGAGAATTTGTTCACAGCACGACATTTATTGGTGCTTTCCACAAATATGGCCTTTATTGAGGATAGGTAACAAGTAGTTATTGAAAAAAAAAATATGAAGTAAATGCTCACATGTAATTATTCACAGATTGAATGTTTTTCACCAGCATGCAGCAAATAGATCCCCCTGAACATATGATCCTCTTGTTAAACATGCCGATTACAGCATCTTTAATGTACAAGTTGAAGCTAAATAGACATTAACTTATTTGGATGGGATTAAATTGATCTCAGAAAATACTGATCAGGACTTCTCATGTAAATCACACTTCAAAGAGGTTGGTAGAATTTCCTTCTTTCATCTAAAAAATATTGCAACAAAATAAAAATCTTAATTAATATCTTGTTCATTGGTGAAGCTGAGAAACTAGTCCATGCATTTGTTACTTCAAGGTTGGACTAATCATCCATCTCACATATAAAGCTTTAAAGGCCAAGCTCCATCTTACACCAGAGATCTGATTTTTCCTTATGCTCCTAACAGAGCACTTCGCTCTCAATCTGCAGGTTTACTAGTGGTTCCTAGAATTTCTAAAAGTAGAATGTCAGGCAGATCTTTTTGTTTTCAGGTTCCTCTCCTGTGGAACCAACTGCCAGTTTTAGCTCATGAGGCAGACACCCTGTCTAGTTTGAAGGCAGGGCTTAAAATTTTCCTTTTTGATAAAGATTATATTTAAAAACATATTGATATATGCTTAGTCGCTGGGTGAGTAGATAGGTGGAGGTAACGTGTTAACAGTCTGATCTGGCGGGGGAGAATTTCAGTCAGGACAGATGTTTCTCCTTGGCTCTACCTTGGCCTTACTTCCGCTCTACCTTTCTTATACCTCATCTAAAACAGTTAGGTGATCCTGAGTTTTCTGTATTTGGGCTGCTATATGTTTGCGCTGCTAGATCACATGTGGACCACTGTTCCTCATTCTGCTTCATTCTTTCTCTATTCTCCCATTCTGCAGTGTTTGTCAAGTTCCATGCATGACTTTATGCTCGCTGCATTCTCTAATCATTGTAGCTTCATCTGTTCTGTTACCGTTTGGTTGTGACACCATCCTAGATTAAAATATCAGCTGTGTTGCTACTATCAATATCTGTTTATAGATATTGAAGCTTGGCTTGTTTCCAGTCTAGTCCTGTTTCTTTTTCTACTAATAGCAGAATTGTCTTGGAGCTCAGCTGTAGACCTAAACCTAATGAAGAATATGTGGCAATACTTGCACACCGATGTTATATACCTTGTGATGTGATACCTCCTCCCTTCCTCCAATATGACTGAAATCAAGCTGTTTTGCCAAGATGAACTTGCAACTATTTCAGTTGCTAGATGTGGAAATCTGGTAAAGGCATATACCCTAAAGATTTGGATATGTAATTGTGGGGAAAGATGTTTCTACCAAGTTTCTACCAAGTATTAAAATGGTCAGAATGCAAATGTATGGCATGCTTACAGGTATTTATTTATCAAAAAATAAATAAAGAAAGAAACAATATATCAATTTTGCTCATTTTGTTTGTCTATCACATAATTTCCCCCCAAAATATAATGAGGTTATTATTTTTGTTATACACTGAGACCGCTAACTGGTTGTTATAACAGATGTTTATACTATTATAATGTTATAACAGAGGTGTATTGTATTCTTTATTTCATTTTAAGTTTGTAAGTATGATGAGTAGGTTGATGACTAGTAACTTACATTTCTGAGGCCTTCCTTACTTCATTTACATCTAGAGCAGGTTATAAAATGAAAATGTTATTTTTTAATTTGGTTACTTTAACCTTGGAAAGAAAACATTGATTATTCATTAATTAGTTATAAGATTTTTTTTCACTTAAATATGTATTTTAAATATTGCTTGTTTTCTTTAAGATAAAAAATTTATGAATTTTGTCCACTCGGTGGCGCTCTAAGACTGCCAATAACCCAAAGTGTGAATCTGGAGAGCATGGGAAGGGGGTAAAGGTGGGAAAAAAAGAGGCCCACACTTACCTCACACTCAGACAGAGCTATAATTTACTAATAGTGTGGGAGCCGCTGCCGCTGTTATCTTTTAATAGATTTGTACGGGAGAAAGCAGGTGCCTGTTGTTAATGCGTCCAATTGCCCAAGTTGCCTACAGAATTCAGGGCATCCATCACTGTCGTTGGTGGTGACACCCTGTCGTTCTACTTCATGCGGCGGGCCGGCCGGGCTGGGTTGGTAACAGATGAGGCTTCTCTCTCCTCCAGACGCCCACAGTCACACAGAGACAACCACCATGCTTGCTTGCACTACCATACACACATACAATGATACATATATATATATATATATATATATATATATATATATATATATATATATATATATATATATATATACCAGCATATGACTCTTAAAGGACAAATAAAACTCAAACATAATCTGACTTGAGGCATTATATTTTCTATGAAGTTTGCTTTCTGTTGATTCTCACACCAAAGGATGTCATTTCTGAAGTCAACAAAAGCTCTCTATTTGAATGTTGTTGTTGTTTTTTTTTTTTTTTGGGGGGGGGGTATCTTGGAGTTTGTATGGATGAATGAATGATTAATTCAGCCATAATTCATCTTGCTGCTTTTAATAGCGAATGGTTACTGTGGATCATATAAGTTGACATGTAATGGAGGCGAAGTAATACCAAGCTGGAGAATCTGAGTGATGTAGACTAGACTTACCTCATTATGAAATATAGACTGTCTACCAGGATGAACACATTTTGACTTTAGCAACTAACTATTAGAAAAAAGAAAACTCCCCAATACTTCATATTTAATACTCGTACACTCTCATCTAACTTTACTGACAGGCAAGCTGCTTCAAATCTAAGTAACCAGTTGAGCCATGATAGTAAATCATTCATTGCAGACGACATCTTAGCTTCTTCGCACCAAAACTGTCTGTCTGATTAAAAAGTAATAACATAATGAAAGGGTATAATGCCTTATTTGTTCTAAATAATCGTTCAGATTTGAAACAGAGAAAAGAGTAATTGACTGCAGTTTCATAACTTTACATTGATGAATGATGAAATTTATTTTTCTCTTCTGAAGTGTGACAGAAATGTTAACTAAAGATGAAACCTACCTTAATAAGCAGTAAGGTGAGAAATCTAAACAACAAGCAAAGCCTTAGCTGTACAGAATATGACCTGGATGGAAGTAAAATGATCATGTTCAAGGAAGCTGAGTTTATTGCATCAAGCTCTGAACTTTGCCCAAATACCTCATATTGAGCGAGCATTTGGTGAGAAGGTTAAGGAATATCTTCATTATAAACAGGAAGAATATTTCAGCTGTACCTTGTCCATTTATAGGTGTTCGTCTTCTGTGACAAACTACAGTTTTGAGAAGGTTATAAAAGAAGAAAAAGTATTTCCACCAACAATTTTTTTTACGTGCCATAAACTATTACTTTGCAGAGTAGAAGACACAGAAAGGAAGAGATAAAGATAAATCAGAGTCATATGAAAGGAATGTGCTTACTGTAGGAACAGAAAAAAAACACCTGATTGAGCCCAAGAGGTGTATCATTCATCAATCTACTATTTGGCCAAGGGCTCGTTTTTTAATGAAATACATCTAAATGAAAGCAATCTTTGTTATTATTATCTAATATGGTAACTTAGGAAGTAAACTGCACTATTTTATATATTTCTTTAAAGATATATTCTATAAATTGCAAAGCCTCTCCTTAAATGTTTTTTTTTTTTTTTTTTTTAGAATTTTAGCTGAAATGTAAATATTTCTGCACTTTTCAGATTTGTGAGAACAGGAACGATAACCAGCAGATAAAAGTTATCTCCATAACGTTATTTTATCAGTTTCCTTTTTTTAATCAATTCAAATGTAATAACATAAATTACTTTATAATGTTGACAGTTAAGTCTTCAAAATCTGGAAATACATTTTAACTTATTATATTTATTCCCCACTATATCAATTCCAAAGATTACTTTTATAATTTTTATCGAACATTTCGAAAAACAACTGTTAGAATGTATATTTCTGACCTAACCTGCAGTAAACCGCTATTAATTATGCCGGTGAAACAAAGTGGTACTAAAATGCTCCTCTTCTTTTCTTGGAATTCATGACCCTGTTTCACTCCTATAGCTTAGCTGGGGGCACCCTGTTGTGCGTGAGTTTGCCCTCCACCCTGAAAAACTCTGTGAGCAGCTGTGTTTCTTTAGACCCAGACTGAGAGCTGGAGTTGCCTGCTAATACCTTGTTAGAGCCGTTTCAGTTGACGGGTCTTGGTGGGGTCACTGTCAATACTGCTTTAGTTCAAGGGCCTTGATCTGCTGTATGTTGGATAAAACTGGGTACTAGTGAGCAGGCTGTTGATTCTCTGCACTATTACTATTTTCACTTTTGCATTGCTCTAATGACAGCCATGTGCTTTGATAAATTTTGATCAATTTGTATTATTCTTGTACTATTTTAAATTAGTTTTGTTTTTATTCTCCTTGATTATAAATGTTTCCTTTTACATATAAATCAAACTTATGAATGCAGTTTTTGTTTTGCAAAAAAACACACAGGTGTTGAACAGCATATGGAGGCTGTGACCCAGCTTCCTAACACTCACTGACATTACTCCTAACATAAAACAGAACTCAACCTTTTGAACAACGTTTGCAGATTTTTCCAGGATGTTTCCGCTGTATGCTGTTTATAAGCATCAAACCAGTTTTATGTTCCCCCCCAGACACTCTCCTCATTACTCAAATCATCATGAACCTTCTCTTTCAAACTGACTTGAAAGAAAAAAAAAAAATGTTGCAATGTGATCATATGCATGGTGGTAATAAAGAAATATTCACAGAGCACCTTATTAACATAATGTCTCTTCTGTTTTTTTAAGTCATCGTAAAAATACTTGAAAATTACTGCTTGCAAAAATAGACAGTAAGCTTTTCCAATCATATTATCAATGTCCAGTGAAAACTGGCTGCATCTGGTATAGTTAGCTCTGTATTATTTGCCCTAGAAACAGAATAAGTAAATTAAAATCACCATCAATGGCTTGGCTCTGCTAGTCAGCCGGCCTAAAAAGGACTTCTACAGAATCTCTTGCTTATGTTGAATACAAATTGGGCTGTGTGGAAGCAAATCTTCATGAGAAACAATAAATATATGAAATCTTAAGGAGCACTCCCATTGCTCCTATTTAGACAATTTAGAAAAATAAATAAATGAATCATTAATGTTGCTCCAACGCAGATAAGCTTGTCAACTGTTGGAGAACTTGGAAATATTCAGTCAATCCCTCTGCAGCCTCCATTGTTTCCACTGTTCGTTCAGTTCCCGTCTAAAAAAAAACAAAACAAAAACAGAAGTCAAACAAAAGAGAGGGGAAAGTCTTGCCAGTTAGCAGCTAATGAGACAAGCTTCTGAGGATATCCAAAGCCACAACGTGTTAACGTTTAAAAAATCCCCTCCCCATCTCTCTACTCCCTATACCTCGGCCTCCCCCATCTGCCCTTGGACCCAGCCTTTTGTAAACTGGCGAGGGCACCACTGAGGCCCTCTGTGTGATTATTCACACATGGCTGTGGCCCTGGTGCTTTGAGCGCAGGCTGATCATGGGAGCCAGGAAAAAAAAAAGAGGATTTGTGTATGGATAATGTAAAAACACTCCAACTGACATTTAGCCAAGGTTTTCTTATTATTGCTATTAATATGTTTTTTGTTACTTTTTTGCTCGTCTGTTTTAACCTCTGAACAGACATTTTACCCTTTAAAGATGTACACCTACATTAATTTAAATTAATCTGTTTTTATTATTGCTTTCATTAAGTAAAACCAGGCAATGTGTGGGTGGGTCGTGTTTGGGAATTTGGTAAGAAAAACGCATCCAATAAGTGAAAAATAATATGGCAAGAGAAATAACAGCAATCCCAGTTGCCTTTGTCCTGCTTTTTCGAAAATGATTTCTGCCTTGGAAGTGAGAATAAAATATGCTTTTGTAATAGATCTTTGGACAGCCTTGAATGATTTGCCACCAGAGTTCTTTTCCGGACTCATTTTCTCCAGGGTGTGTATTGGAAATGTGTTCAGAATCTCAGCAGGGGGAAATTAAATGTTAAGCTGGTCTAGAAGTGTTGCAGTAAACACCGACTGGATCAGGGAATTACATTCAGTGTGACGTTTGGACTTAAAAAAGCTGATGCATGGAACAGAGCAGTGCAAATTCTACTTTCCAAAGGGACGTCTAATTGATTCTGTGCTACATTACTAGTTTTCACACAGATATGGACATCTCACTTCAGTATGTGGCGATTGCTAAGATACAGCTCTCACAGCATCTTGCTGAAAACCTTATTTCTTTGTTTTTAATTCTAAAATCTCAGTGTTGTCTTTGTAGACTGCACCGCAGTACAGAATGCAACCTTAACCTTGGCAAAAACCCCTGAGCAAAACCAGAAAATTGAATTGAAAGAGAAGTTTGTGAACAAAATAATCCAGGGCTCCACTTGATGTGTTATTTGTCAGGGGCAGTGCGTTTGTGCATGTTAACTAACTGTGCCACCGAACTTGGCCTGCATGTAATAGGGTTCCAGCACAAACATTTTCTCCAAGGGGCTTCAATTATTAATTCTCTCTGAACACATCCATAAATGAATAATGAAATAAATAATGAAAATGTTATTACTTTTGGCAGCTGGGTCATTTCCCGTTTTCCTGCTTATTCTTCCACTTGTTTCCTACTAATTAACTTTCCAAGGAGTTGTCCTCGTTTTTTGGGGGGAAAAAAGATAAATTAATCTGATCTCAGCTGTGGGCAAAGAAAACATCCAGAACATCACATAATTCTATCTATGTCTTTTTTTTTGTCATGGCAAGTAAAGGAAAAATGTAAATACAGTGCCTGGTAAAAGTATTCATTCCCTTTGAGATTGGCTGTATTTAATCCTAAAACAACCACAAAACTTGGTTTGTCTACCTGAATATTTTGTTTTTGATATGGAAATAGTAAATTGCACCTGAAGTTAAAGGAAAATGATGCTCAGATTAATTTAGTTAAATAAGATTATTAAAGCTTAACACTAGATCAAATCTTGTGAAAGCTAATGCATACAGATCATTCCAAGAATAAATCCGGCTGTTCTGTGAAGGCCTGGATCTTATCTATTTATTTGTATTATTCATTTTCTTTCTCCAAACAGTGTAAGGATACCAGAGGACAAAGCAAGTAGTGTGAATATAAAGTTGAGTAGATGTATAAAGTAGGATATAAATCACTTAAAGTTATGGCAGCATTTAATTTTCTTTTGGGAATGATAAACTATTTTTTGAATTAAACTGAACTGAATAACAATATATGCCTGTCAGTCCTTCTGGAAAAAGAAAGACAACTAACCATGCAAACAGAATGTTAAGTGGCAAAGCAGCCGACAGGCCTACAGTGAACCAGGAGGGACTTCAGGATTATCCATAGTAGCTATGGTGACAGAGTCCCTACAGAAACAGGTTAAGAAATCATTAGTCCTGCAGTTCAAAAATGCTGCTTCTGTGTTAGAAAAGTAAGATCAAAACAAAGCCAAACAAATTCTCCTTGACAGTCTAAAGCATACGGCTAATAGGGAATACAGCAAACATGGAAGACGGTGATCTGGTATTATGTAACTAAACTGATCTAACTTATCTGCATACAAGGAGCTATGAATGGCAGAAAATTAACACCAAAGACATACTGTGGTGGCAGCATCATGTGCTGGGACTGTTTTCTCTTTACCAAGGACAGAAAAGGCCAGAGTTAATGGGAAAATGAAAGGAGCTAAAAACACAAGACTTGAAAATTGATAGTCACAAGCACTCACAGTTTAAGCTTACAGACCTTGAGATTTTTGAACACAAAAGTGGGCAGTTTGCTAAACTGGCACACCCCAAAACATTTCCAGCTGGAAATGCAAGGCGGCTGAAGACATATGCATGATGGTTGCCACACTTCTTCAATTTGTATTTGTTTAAATAATGCAACACACTTCATTCAGTTTACAGGAATGTCACAAAAAAAAAATCCAGTAAAATATATGAAAGTCTTTGATTGCAATCTGACAAACTGCATTAAAGATAAAGTTGTACGGGTATTTTAGCAAATCAGCTGCATACATGTTTTTTTTAAATAGTTTAATCAAAGCAAGGCATAATAACACTACAGAAATGTCTTAACTATAACTGCTATCTGATACTCATTAATTAACACTCCAGTCTTGTGTGTGACAATAAAGTGAAAGAGGAAGTCCTTTTGGCAATGCCTAATTTAGCAAATCAAGGTTTCCTTCCTTGCTAGCCCTGATTCCCCTCATGGCCTTAAGATGCATGCCCTCTGCCCCATGCCATGCAGTTCAAAGCTTGTGTGCTGGGACAGAGGCTTGGCGATAAGTAGCCCTCATTTAATATGGATCTTTAAGAGGGCCATAACGCTAAAGCCTCAATGAAAGTGCTTCCCCCTCGTATCCCTCCGGCATTGCTACATCGATGGCTCTTCTCTCTCTCTCTCTCTCTCTCTCCCTCATTATAGTCACTGCAGCTCTGTTTTAAACTGCTCCTTCCTTCTTCCCTTCATTTTACTGTTAATTAGTTTGCTTTGTAATGTTAGACGGGCGGACAGAGCAACTTTGGGAGTGTTTGGCTGCCATCTGTGTGTGCATAGATCTAACCATGTACAGATGGCGAGTCCATATCGACAGGTTGCTCCTGGTGGGGAAAAAAGCAAACAGTTTTGGTTAAGATTTATGGCTAATCTTACAGGTGACTGTTTATGCTGTTATGATTAGTCATCTATCACAAAAAAGAAAATTCAAGGGAAGACTGTGAATATTCCATAAGTGAATTATATTCCATTAAAACTGAAATTTCCTTTCAAAGCTTTCAGGGGCTTCACCCAATTCAAAATTAGGTATAGAAAATGAAAAGGGAAGCAAATATATCTAATCTGTTTACCACACGATGTTATACAAATGCTCTGCAAACTTGGCCAAGTTTATGCAACATAAGAAATTAAGTGAATCAGAAAGTTGGAGAAGAAGTTAGATAACAAGGTTACAAAATTACAATATATATATATATATATATATATATATATATATATATATATATATATATATATATATATATATATACCTTATGCCTTTTTATCATGGCATCCCAAAATATTTGATTTTGTTTTCTTTGCTCTGCACTTTAAGTTTAAGTACACTTTAAGTTTGTGTAAATTAACAATGACAGATTTTTTGTATCTTATTTATAAATAAGGCTTATTTGTTAAGCTCTAAGCTGTTTAAGATGTTTCTAAGGAAGTAAAATGTTGAATGTTTTCTGTCAATAAAAGTATACAGTTGACAATTCACAATACATTATCTTCTGTTAATTTTAATACATATACATTTTTGTTAAGACTATTAAAATTGAATATATGATCTGATAAAAGGAAGGCTTCAGATAGACCCAGTGATCGGTTACTGGTGATCGGTGATCGGTATCAACCAATACTGCTTTCAGCAATCGGTGATCGGCCCCAAAAATCCTGATCGGAGCACCCTTAATATATATATATATATATATATATATATATATATATATATATATATATATATATATATATATATATATATATAATTTTTTTTTTTTATTTATTTTTATTATTATTATTATTTTTTTAATTTCATTGTATCAGTGATTTTTCTTCTGCATGTTTTGTCACTTACTTTGTATCCCCAAAAAGTACCTCTTGCTAGTGAGAACCTGACCCTGTCAGTTTCAGTTCAGTGCCTAATGCTTTCAGTTGGGTATTAATAACCCCCTCCCACAATTAAAAATGAGTTAGCCATGTTTTTAATGGCTTACTGCCATATGTTTGTGGTGATGTCTAGGAGAGAAAGTGAACCCACGTAAAACGTACAACGTTAAATTTCATTCTCTCTGTCTTTAATTGACATTTAATAAAAAAATAAATCAACATCATTGCGATAGAAACTGAAACTTTTAACTTGTATAGGATGGCTTTTCAACTCCCCTGATTAATCAAATTACACAACATCGCACAAAAAAGACATATTGTATGATTTTTGCATATAATTTTTTTTTTTTTTGCAGCACACCTTTGAATCTTCTTTATTTCATGTCTTTTATCAAAATATATTTGCCAATCTCTTTGACTGCAGATCTTTCTTGATTCCTTGTTATTTTTTTATGGATGGTTAATTGTTAATTGAAATCCTCGTTGTAAAAGGTAGGCTCTATCCGCTTAGGATAATTCCAGTTAACATAATTGATAACATGTTTTTGCTATTTCAATTAATGTAG